GTCCAAGTATGTCATCCAGGCGTGTTCATAAACCTCACTTGTGAGGTGTTGGAGCACTATATTCATATCCCCAGGTTGGGCGTGTTAGTCGCTTGATGAAATTCAGCTGTAGTCTGAAACGCTGTGGATTTAGATCCACTTGTATCTTTCGTCTAGGTAATTCGCTGCGAAGTCCTTGATGATGTAGGTGCACAACCAGGTGTGTCTGTCCTCGTTGAACTTTATGTAAAATCGCCTGACTGCCGATCCCTCGTCTTAACTTGACAGGGGAGGTCTCTAACTTGAAGAAAGGCAGTCTAATCATGAATGTTCAGGTTAACTGGACTGTAATGAGGCTTGCTCGTTCACTGATATATAGTTGTCACTTGTGACGTAAGTCTTGAACTGTGAATAGAGATCGACCTCTGTGTAGGTCGCTTGTCCCTCGCGTCCAATCAGAACAAGGCATTTTGATTCTGTATAATACCAGCTGTGATGTCACCGGTGTAGCGGAAAAAACCCACCTTGAATAAATTCTTGTCGCCGTTGATATTAGCATAAACGTCGGTCTTCACCGTAGCTTCCGAAGTTATCCGAAAGTGACCACGTGTTTCGAGGGTTAATGGTAACCCAGCGAAACCTCCCGCCGAAATATCTCGCTCTGTAATTTTATGCTGGGTAGGTTATTTTCCTGGTTGTCGAAAGTAATTTCAGTTTTGAATATAATTCCGACTTCCTTATATATAGGGTATAAATAACTTGCAAGTTGTGAGCTTGTAGACTGTATACATGAATGTATCGTCCATAATTGTAGAATTAACGTTGAACTTGTTGTACATATTTCTTCTCAGAAACTTTGACGATTAAGAGTTATACTCGCTGTAACAAGGCTGCTGTTCAATTTCGATATTGAATTGTCTGCAGATATGCGTAATGGTCACGCATGTAGATAATCGTGATCGTCGTCGAGGGATTGTATATTAGCAATTTATACCGGAATAGTTGATTTCTGTGAAGATCTATGAAATGTCGTTGACTAATAATACAGCGGCGTTCTGTGTTGTAAATAGCCTGAGCAATTATCTTCGCGTAGGCTTATAGATCGGCATCTGGCATACAGTTGATAATCAACTTATCGCGGCGTCTTGAACGGACTGACGAGTAGCTATATATGACGAGTGGCTAGTATATGGAAACCTTGGAGGAGACTTCCTCGGTGAACGCCGGAGACTTCGGCGAAGTTCTCGGTATCCCTTCTAGATCTTCTGGGTGAAGTAGACTTGAGTTACTTTAGCCTTCGCGACCATCGCGAAGGTGTCGAAGTCAAAACCCGATTAGTATATATATATATATAAATATATATATGAGCTTGCTTCGTGAACAGCCTCTGTGTTTAACAGGATGTGGGATCGTGGCTTGCCTAAAGTAGGGCCGCATGGATCATCTTATCATATTCAGAAGTCGTATTACGAAGTCTGGTGATAAGTGTCTAATTGATCGTTCTAGATCTATTTAGGCCAGCTTAACATACGCCCTCGTCATGGATTCAACAGAACCAATATAATGATTGTAGTTCTTATACTTGATATCGATGATCAACTTGTCTATGGGTTGATCTTCTGGAGACTTGTGAGGGGAGCGTTGATAGTTTCGCTAAGCTCTTGTATAGTCCCTCGATGTCCTTCTAGATGATGATGATCTGGATTCAGGTGTCCTTGGCGCATGCCTTCGCGAAGCTTCCTCTCATCCGTCCGGGAACGACGATATGACCTTCGAAGGCTTCCGTGATGTCTGATGGTCCGAGTCCACATCTAGGGATGAAACCGCCAAAAGGTGATGATCTATCCTGCTCGCCGGTCCTTCGCCCGAAGGCTGTACATCTAGGTTCTTTCCACCTTCGCGAAGGCTGTACATCTAGGTCCTTTCCGCCAGCGGAAGGCCTTCGCGAAGGCTGTACATCTAGGTCCTTCGTCAAGGTGGTCCGTGACTTCCTTCGCGAAGGTGACATCGTCCTGGCTGCTACGTTGACGGGGGGTGCCTCTGGGGTGCTCGGACCCTGCTACCGCAGATATTGGTCCTCCATGATGTTCATAATTTGTCGCATCATGTCTTCTGGGATGGTCTGCGACGAGGTCGTCGGTGCTTTATCTGCGGTGTTAATGGAGGGGTCCACCGGAAAATCGTCCGACATCAGTGTAGAGGCATCAGGCTGCATGGTGATCTCTGCTGATGTCGTTGTAGCTGTCACCGGTCGCTTCTTGTGGCGTCGTCGGGGATGATGATCAGCTGATCATCGTAGAGAGGTCCAGGTCATCGGCTGGAACAATCTCGGGTTGAGAAAGTCCTAGTAGACTTCGTTGATTTTCCTCAGAGGTCGACGCTGCCCTGGGTGTCGCGGCGTCTGCGTTGAGTGTTGGTAATGATGGGACCCTCAGGACGATCATCGCATATCTGCGCTGGTACATCAGGCTGCATGCTGATCTGTGCCGACATCGGTCAATCTTTGATGTACATCCGGTATGATGACCGGCTGATCATCATACAGGCCCAAAACTTCGATGGGAACGGTCTCGGTTGTTGAGATGTAGTAGAAAAAACCCTCTAGTCTTCTGCTGCGCGACGATGGGATGTCTGGGGAAGCAGGATGCTTCTTGAGATGGCGGACTACGCCCCACACCTCTCCACCACTCTAGCGGAACACCACACGGGAGGGGAGTCGACCAACAGCAGTAGACTGGCGAGGGTTCCGTGTATCAGTCATACTAGACTCTGCATACGACCTATCTATCTGCTAAAGCGTGCCAAACGCAAAGTAAATATTAATAAAAGGTAGAATTGGATAAATTAGTACCGCAACTGCAATGTGAATATAATAAACATGGCGCCAGTACATCATATTAAAGGCGGATCAGCAGCAGCATAAAAACGTAATCTGCAATAGTACAGAATTTTCATCAACGTAATCCACTGAAACAAACACGGCGTCCCGTGACTAAACTGTAGAAAAACGACTAAATATCAATATATAATCGTTGAAGGATACTAGCTAAACCTCTATAGATGTCTATACGAGGTAACTAACTAAATATAATTCAAAGGATATAGTGTGTCGGGAGACACAGGCGCTCTCACGTCCAGCTCACTGGGCGAAGAAGGAGAGAGTGAGGCACATGGGTAGAGGTGGCGCCCTCGTTCCCGCGCTTGTGGAAAGGAGGTAACTCGTGGTGAATACTAATTAGTGATTTTAAATTGAAGGGAGCTTCAATTAGGGAGATACAAGTGTTCCACTATGTTCGCAAGAAGAAGAAGACAAGCAAAAAGAGCATGAGTCAGGATAAGGAAAAATTTTACCACTTTGGTGAAACAAACAGAAAATTGACCTATCAAAATTGTGATGTAGCTTTAAACCAAGAGCAAGTAGATCCTTGCACAGCCAAGGGAAGCAATCATTGCTGACAGGATATATGAAGATTTATGATGTAATGCTCTGTCACTGAGCAGTCATTATGATGTTACAGGGCTCGATTTAGGAGATGTTAACCTACTTGCACCAGGCAAGTAAAAACCTAGTTGCACCAGCCAAATTCCAGCTGCACTGCTTTTATTGCAATATGTAATGCAAGAAATATGCTACTGAATGATCCTAAGTTTAGAAGAAAAATGAGCTGACATAATTATGCTTATAGTGTTAGATTTATTGTTGATTAATTTCTCAAAAATTGACTTGCACCTGGTGCAAGTTAAACAAAAATCTAGGTTGCACCTTGTAGTACTGGGTTGCACCAGTGCAAGTAACAAAGCACTAGATCGAGCCCCGTGCTATGTGTATGTCCTAACAGTTGGACAATTGAGAAGAACTGCTTCTTGCATGACTTGCTTCTTGCAAAAACGTGCAGGGCTTGTTTAATAAAATCAGTATGACACCAACACATGATATTAATTCATCTATGCCACTGTGCTCTTGCCATGTATTGATTTTATGTAAACGTTTGGAGTTGTGTGGGTGAATGGAGCATCAGGTTGTATTATCAATTTTGCAGCATATTAAATTGAGACATCAAAAACTGACATCATTCACTGGCATTCCAGTGGAGAATCATTCATATCTCAGAGGGGAATTATATCTGGCCTCCAGACTGCCAGTGAACCTACCAGCAATGACATCCTGATCTAGGTCATTATAGCCAATATATCCTACCAAGTACTAAGGCGTACCACCTGCACTTTGTTTACTTCCATAATCCTATATCACCTGTGTCACATGTTATTTACCCATGGGGCTGTGTAATGCTACAGAATCTGGATCTGATTAACATTGTTTTAATACAGCCAAACAAACTGAGAGCGTGTAAAGATTGTTTCATGATGTCGTCAACAATGTTCAGGTGGGTTGTAAATGACACAAAACAGTGGTCGATAGCATGAGCAAACATCTATATTGTCAGGGTACCACGACACTCTATCAGATGGAACACTCCAATTGTGACATTGTGAATCTTTATCCGTCGGCCCATTGACCGTCCAAATCTCAAGCAATATATAAGGGGTTTGGGCAAAATGACTCAAATTATGCTACTGCAATTTTGCTTGGATAAACAACCTTCCATGTAATACCATTTTTATTAAACGAGGTAATGATTAGGTATCAAACAAGCAAAAGCAAGTTTGAAACTAAATCTTTCACAAGTTTAATAGAAATGGTATTTCACGGAAGCGAGGTTAGTACCGGTATTCTGTTTATTGCTCTCCAACATAAATTGATAGAAACTGTCTATAGAGTGATGACTCTCAGCTTTCCGCGAGTCAAGCAAGATCTACTACCATTGAGACAGAGGCATTAGCATTATGACGTCATAAGACCGGCATCACGCGATGTTATCACACAATGTATAACAACATTGTAGATTTATTAAACAGTGATATCGTCAACGGATGACTAATAAATTCCATTTTGCATATCTCACACAGATGAACAACAACCTAGTTCCCAGCATTTTCATTATGTGTCATTGTGTACTTACATTTGGGTGTCCATCTCGAAGTATCTTGTGGAGAACATGAAGAAATTTCCAGCACACGATGGGGTTTCCCTGAACAGGGAGTTTGGTAGCGACGGTCCAGAACATCCCTCCGCCATTGTCTTGGAAGGTACCAAGGATTGTGTCTTGCACTAGTTAAGGCCATTATTCACAGAGGAAAAATAGTAGGCACTGTCGATTATTTAACTTTTATGCATAAAATTGTGATGACAAATGATTCTCATACCAGATTCCAATAATTTCCACATAAGTTTAATCTTTGCACCTCCGTAGAAGTTGTTACAGATTTATTTGTTTGTATGATTGTAGTTTGCTCTCAGCAATAATCCAGCTATATGATGGCAGTCTGTAAATAATCTAACAGGGAACAGACAATCCAGTGATTGACATCATGACCATCATTCCAAGCCAAGCAGTAACATGATTGGGATATGATGACGTGCCAACCTAGTCAGCGAGAATGACCACCTGATCTCATTGGTCACCTCTTACGACAAGCATGGGTAGCTGAAGATCAATTGTAACACAAAGAAAATGTTCTTGTACAACATGAAGCCAATTTCTGGCGTCCCCTGCCGTGATATCGCTGAAATATTGCTAAAAGCGGCGTAAAATGAAACTCAGTCAGTCAGTCTTGTACAACACTCCTGTGATGGAGATATAAACCTGCACTTTACTGTACATGCACACCTGTCCATGTACAAGACCATTCAACCTTGAAGTCCTGTATCCCTTGCTGATGCTGATGAAACTCAAAATTTGTTAATATTTCCCAGGATAATCAGCACCCTAAAGGAGCATGTGTTGGCCTGGCGATTTAGTTCACTGACAGCACAATAATGGAATAAAGAATTCTGACAGAAACAAATTACTTTTATTAATCTGAAGAGGAGTCACAATTACTTGTGAGATTCAGAACCTCAGGAAAATCTAGGCTTGTTTCATATAGAGCTTGTGCATCAGAAGAACGGCTGGGCAGAATGAAAATATACTGGACAAAATAAGTTAGGGATATTGGTATTTTTATGATGATATTTTAATCAGTGTGTCAATGAATAAATAGATCATTATTCATAATTTCAAAATTTACATATATCCCTAATTATTTTTGTCCAGTATATATGATTCGTGGACTGTGAGACAATTCAAACTGTGTGTGAGGTTCTGACAATATTCCCCACAAAATAAGTGTGAGTGTACAAGAAATATACTGCCATACATTATGGTACAGAACCTTATGAACATGATGATGGTCTGAGAGATTATCCTTGATTACCTGGTACAACAATCCTCATAAGGATGGAAAAGCCACATTAACTCGGTGTGCCTAGTGGCTGCAAGAGTTGTTGGATCTCCAGGGAGTTGAGATTGATAATACAATGTGCCATTTGAGATTGACATCCAATGATCAAGGGAAAAACAAAGCACCTTTGTGCATGTCATCTAGATATTGGCGCTATACCTAATTATACAAATAAATGTCTTCCAATGTTGACAAGTCACACCTCTCATGTCATACAACCCCAATTGGGCCTCCTGTCATCAAATCAGCAGATTTCACCAGATTCACCAACATCTCACGTTCCTTGCCAAAAATCTTTATTTTCCCATTTCCATTCAAAATCAGCTTTAATTGGCAATGAGGTACTGACAAGCAGTGACTAATCATATCATGTGACCATATTGGAGCAGCATGGACAAATCGAGAAACACACTGAGCGACAACCAGTCAATAACATCAATATTGACTTCAGACATATTAGGACAACACTGAAGTAACCTGAACCAACTATTTCCCAATTAACATGCAATTACTATGAACATCCATCATCACAACAATGTATCTACTAGATTCACATCATGATCTTTCCAATGCAGGTACATATTTTTCATTTCAGAAAATATCTTGAAACTGGACCTACCGATCTTTTGGTTTTTGACATATTTCATGCACTGTTACCATGGACCCCCACTGCCGGTCAGAAAATCCATAACCTAAGCCCCGGCTTACCATCCAACTCCCTACTATATACATGCAAAGGTTTATCACAGAAATACAGCGACATGATCGAAAACCGGACAATACACACACATCAAAGAATATTTCGTATTTTAAAGGTCTCATCAGTGTAAAAAACTTTTGTCCATATTTCCGATGTTTGTACGAGGCATACATGCTCTCACATACTCCAAAACAAATTTACCATAAATCTAGTGACCTTATGGTATGATTCTCATATATTGATGTGATGAAAATATGGCAAATTGTTACGAGCCGATGTTGATGTTTTGAGAACCCCACATAAAACCTGTAACCATATCAGATATAACAGCATGTCATCTTACAACCAGACATCAACCTACACACACAGGAACATAGGAATCTCATAAGACCATTCTAAACAGACAAGTTGATAAGTTAATTACTGGGGCTCCCATGCTGTCTGTTAGGGTTGTAATGAAGAGTCTTAGAATAGACATTAATAGGCTGGAACTGTGGTAGAAGGCCAACAGGAAACCATGAGGTCACTGCTTCCATTGTGTTAGACACGTCTGGGGGGACAGAATAGACAAGAGTGGAACTGTGGGAGAAGGCCAAAAGGAAACCATGAGGTCACTGTTGCTGTTGTGTTAGACACATCTGTGGGGACAGAATAGACAAGACTGGAACTGTGGTAGAAGGCCAACAGGAAAACAATGAGGTCACTGTTGCTGTTGTGTTAGACACATCAGAGGGGACAGAATAGACAAGAGTGGAACTGTGGTAGAAGGCCAAAAGGAAAACAATGAGGTCACTGTTGCTGTTGTGTTAGACACATCAGGGGGGACAGAATAGACAAGACTGGAACTGTGGTAGAAGGCCAACAGGAAACCATGAGGTCACTGTTGCTGTTGTGTAAGACACGTCTGTGGGGGACAGAATAGACAAGACTGGAACTGTGGTAGAAGGCCAACAGGAAACCATGAGGTCACTGTTGCTGTTGTGTTAGACACGTCTGTGGGGGACAGAATAGACAAGACTGGACTGACTGACTGACTGAGTTTAGTTTTACGCCGCTTTTAGCAATATTCCAGCAATATCACGGCGGGGGACACCAGAAATGGGCTTAACACATTGTGCCCATGTAGGGCCATCGAAACCGGTCTTCGCGTGACGAGAGGGACCAACGCTTTAACCACTAGGCTACCCCACCAGAGGGGACAGACAAGACTGGAACTGTGGTAGAAGGCCAACAGGAAACCGATGAGGTCACTGTTTCCATTGTGTTAGACACGTCAGGGTGATATTGAAGTCACACAAATAAACAATCAGGAGGGATTCAAACAAACATGCAAAGATTCACCAGTATAATATTAAGAAATCAGATGTTCAAATAAGATCAAAATTAACAATGAAAGTTACAGAGACACCAACAATTCCACAAAGTAACCTAGTGCTAAAACTCCCATCAAGAACTCAACTCAAATAGATAAACATATCCCTAAGACTAATCATTGTGCTAAGGACATTGGGAATAAGGGCCAGCCCTGGTTACAACTCCAATGTCAAAAGTTGAAAACTTCAAAATGTAAGATTTTTCAGCAACGAAGATCAAGGACCCTGAACACGCAAAATTTGTAACAGTATTCATCATAGTTTGCTGAGACTTATTACGGTTAGATTTTGATACATATTCTAATTTCTTAAATAGATGTGTCCACCTTCAATTTTGCAAAATTCAAATAAACAGGAAAAAGGCGTTAGAAGCCTCCTTAGAAGCGTTTAGGACTCACGCCTTTCAAAAGGGAAACTTCACATTTGACACATTTAAAAGCAAGTTCATACCTACGTCATAAATTCTAGTTTTCCATATGAGAGTGACCTCCAAGCAGAGTGTGGTCCACTAAGTGATCAGCAACATTGACCTATGACTTTTGCAGCACCAACATAAATACCTATTCTATGTACTGAACTTTCAGACACCAACAACAATAGTTTGTGTTAGAATATACAATCACACGAAATACTTAATTCTTCTTTGTGATTCAACTCTTAGGGCAGTCCTGTTTCCGAAAAAGGGATACTAAAAATACGGATTCAAATGCAAAGAGTGAATGAGTTTAGTTTTACGCCACACTCAGCAATATTCCAGTTATATGGTGGCAGTCTGTAATTAATCAAGTCTGGACCAGACAATCCAGTGATCAACAGCATGAGCATCAATCTTCGCAACTGGGAACCGATGACATGTGTCAACCCAGTCAGCGAGCCTGACCACCAGATCCTGCTAGTCGCCTCTTACGACAAGCATGGGTTACTGAAGATCAATATTCTTATTCGGACCTTCACGGGTCCAAATGCAAGGACATAAAATGCCCTAATGGTGATTATTTCCTTTGAATATATCAACTTTACACAAAGTTTGCTTTATACCCTATTCTTTGTCAATAATTTTGGTTGGTGTTGATAATATCCCAGAGTTTGCTGATCTATTTTCAGTTTTCACAGTATGAAGGAATAATTGTTTGTCATAACATTTGAGACTTTGAGTTGTCTATAGATCTTAAGATTCCCATTCATCCGCTGATTCTAATATCCCACATCTTATCCCATTGATTCTGTTTGGTACCTTCAATCAAGAATCAATAACTTATGATGACTTTGTAGGTGTAGTTCTTGTTTATAACAGGTACAGCAATACACAGCATTTATTTTGGTGTTTGGGTTAATACTCCACAACATGCTCAAGTAATAGCTGCCACAATGCTGTAGGTATGCAGTATCATAAACAATTACCTGACACCTGACAAACTTATAGACAAATACTGAAAACTGACAAGATATTAGACATTTTCGTGTACTTTTGTGACTGTTTATAAATACGAACACGCAGTAATGTGGGTGTCAAATGAGGGTGGGTGGTATTGAGAATACTGAAACGATTCCCATCAAATGGGTTTACATCCAGGTCAGTAAGCTCAATGCCAGGTCACTTTTAGGTCAAGTGACCCACTACAAGTGAAATGTGAAGGTCCAGGGCCCTTACTCTCGAAACGTTCGTAGCCCTAAGAATTCGTAACTTCGGTCGTAGCCAATGTGTTAAGAATGGGCTTAAGAAGTTCATAGGGCTACGAACGTTTTGAG